CGTGATTGGTTTTCTTTTCCATAACAAAATTACTAAATTTGCCAGATAAAACCTGATTAAATAGATCAGTGGGATAAAAATCTGTTTAAATAAAAAGGGGGAATAGAAAATAAATCAGTGGGTGGGGTTTAACTGGAATGGAGGCGACACTGTACAGGTCTATGTCGATTCTGATATGCCGAGCAAAAACCAACCTATTGATCATAGAATAAATAAATAAAGGAAACCAAGAAAATGAAACATAGAAAAAACAAAAAATAAAAATGCATGCACGCGTCAAATGGCCGACCAACTTTTTTTATAGTTTATGTTTTTTAAGATTTGTATTTGATTTGTGTATGAGTAGTGAAAGCCAAGGGAAGTTTTATTTTAGTTGAGATTTTCTTAAGATTGATTTGAAAGTTGTTTTGGGAAATTTCTGATTTGATTGAGTTAATGCATGTGTCAAATGGGCCTGCCTAAATTGGTTGCGTTTGAGCGAAAGATCATCTACAAGACGCTCGCGTGCGTAACATAGGATTTGCTGAGGGGTGATGGGAGTGATGCGAGATTACCAACTCCCGTTTTAGAAGTAGAGGTTAATGGATTATTACGTGAATTTATTCCGGCTGAAGGGCGAGATAGTGGAGTGGGGAGGGAGGGTTCATCTGTGGACGCCCGTATTTCAGAGGTTTATAGGTTCGCTTTGGTCTAGTTTCATGTATTCCATCCGTCCCAAAATTCTTATCTTACATTTTTCTAAATACGGATGTATCAAGTCACATTTTAGTATTAGGTACATCCGTATCTACACAAATTTAAGACAAGAATTTCAGGACGGAGTAGTTTCCTTCTAAGCTTTTCTGTTGATAAATATTTGTGAAGATATTATGGTTTCAGTTAAATGAAATCAAAGAAGAGCTCTCTTTATAAAAAAATTCTGAATGGAGAGGGACAATTTAGAGATAGGATCCTCAGTTGAAAATGATGTGCTTGACAGAGCAAAACCTCCAGCCGGGAAGGCGATCAGGTGCAGCATATACAGGGGTGTTTGGCATAAAACAGAGCATCATACTGGCGGTGCACCTACGAATCTGTTGCACAAACAAAGGCACATTATATGTTAGTGATGCATGTGGTTCTATTGTTTTCTGTTCTAAAAGCACCGGCAAATACATAGCTACGCTTATGAACCAGAACGGTGCCGAAAGGGTTCAGAACATAGTCGTCCATCAAACAAGAACACAAGTTAGTTCAGAGAGTTGTCCATCCATACTAACGGAGGACATTAGTCGATCCACAGTAGATACATAGGAGTAGCGCTAGGAGCGATCTTGCTAGACCTCGCCATTGTTCTCCAGCCGGCCCTTGGTGGCCTCCGCGTCACACACCAGCGCCGGCACCATCCTCGACGTGGGGCGGCTCCCTGGCCTTTCCCCATAGCACCATGTAGAGGCCGGCCACTATGAGCACCGATCCAACCGCACTGGGCAGTGACACCACACCAAAAGAAAATGCATGTCAGCATAAAAGGATGAAGCTTGTTAAAGAAAAATAATCTCGAGGGTATACGCTATATATATATGCACTAAGCATCTTAGGTGCAATACGGGTACGGTGCAAGATTAACATCTCTGATACTTGTTCTACGGTAAGATTCTAAGAAAAAAAATTGACAAATAGCAAATGAGTTCTCTTACAGGCATTAAATTAACACAGCTAATATTAGGTTTGCTACTCCTAGTACATACAATAACATATCTTAACACCTCATTGATCTCCTAGGGAAAAAATCCTATGCGACCCAGGGAGGGCGGCCATGGCCGCAGCCGCGGCCAGCGAGCCGGAGAGGTCAAAGTTTCCGGGAGCCGAGGAATACCGCGAGAGCATCCGAGGCGGCCAAGACGGTGGCTCCCACGGCGAGCGAGAGGAAGATGGAAAAGGGACTTGGGATTTCGTTGCGGAAGTTAATGGAACAAAGGATTAATGGCCTGCGTTGAGGGGTCCTTGCCAAGTGTCCATCGCTGGACAGGGTCTCACGGTAAGCGTATGCGACCCGGGTCGCACAGGATTTTTTTCGCTCAGGCCATGTTTAATTTATATGTTAAAAAAAAAGGAACTAGCGGAGCAAACACTTACTCTCCCAGGTGTATCTTTTCGCCGAGGAACGCCCAGCCCAGCACGGCGCAGACCACCAAGACCACGGGGTTGAACATGGAGACGAACAGTGGGCCACGCAGCTTAATGCACCACGTCATCACCACAAAGGTGGCCCCCCAGCCCACGATCCCCTGCATACGTATGCACTAATTTTGGTTAGAAACATGATTAGCGAGGCGATTTGGCAATCATGGAAAGTAGAGATTTTCATACCATGTAGAGGACGGAGTAGAGCCGGATGCCGGACCCGAGCTCCCACACTGCGGCCCGGCGATCCACGGCGGCGCTCACCACCGCGAACTCCACGCCCACGATCAGCGACATGATGATGGTGCTCGTGTAAGGTGCTGCGAACCGTTGAGAGGTCTCCAGGATGAAGACCTCTGCCTTGAAGCTTGCCTCAAGCCATATATATAGTTGTCCACTTCATTCTCTTTATAACCAAAAGTTCTAATAATCTCATCGAACTTGAGGTACCCACTGCCTTGAAGCTTGCCTCAAGCCATATATGGATTTCTTTAAACGACATGCCATGTGTTCTTTTCCTTCAACGACAAAGCCTTCAGGTTGAGTCATGTAAACTTCTTCTTTTAAGTCACCATTCAGAAATGCCGTCTTGACATCCATTTGATGCAGCTCCAAATCATAATGAGCTACAAGTGCCATGACAATTCTGAAAGAATTTTTGGATGACACAGGCGAGAAGGTCTCCTTATAATCGATTCCTTCTCTCTGTGTAAAACCTTTTGCTACAATTCTTGCTTTGAACCTTTCGACGTTCCCTTTGGAATCATATTTGGTTTTGTAGACCCACTTGCAGCCTACCCTTTTGGCTCCATCAGGAACTTCTACTAAGTCCCAAACATCATTCGAGCTCATAGATTTTAATTCGTCTTCCATGGCTACCAACCATTTGGACGAGTCTTCACTTTTAGTGGCTTCTTTATATGAGGTCGGATCTTGTGCCTTCCCTATGTCATTTTCATCCTCACACATGAAAGTGACATAATCGCTAGAGATGGCCTTTTTCTTTTCCCGTTGTGATCTTCTCATAGGCTCATTAGTATGTGCATTTTCTCTTGCCCGAGAAGGTTGACGATTATCATTGGGTTGAGGATCACCATTTGGCTGAGGATCCTCATCATGCTGAGGATCTTCATTATGCTGAGGCTCCTCATCAGATTGAGGATCCACTTCAGGTTCGGGATCACCAGTAGGTGTCTCATGCATATTAGGCATAGGGATAAAGTTTCGTTGGATAGTCAGGGATGGAACGTACACCCGCTTCTCCTCAAGATCAATCGCCCTAACCTCAGTGACTTCATTATTCTCAAAAAACACTGCTTGCCTGGTTTCCACAAACTTGGTGGTATGACCTGGGCAATAAAAGCGATATCCTTTTCCTCTATGAGGGTACCCAATGAAAAAACAACTGACTGTCTTTGGGTCCAATTTCTTAATATGTGGATTGAATACTTTAGCTTCAGCCGGGAAGCCCCACACTCGCAAGTAATTCAAGCTCGGTTTCTTTCCCACCCACATCTCGTAAGGTGTGCTCGGTGCTGACTTAGTTGGAGCA